CAAATAATTTCTGCTTATAAAGTGCATTGGTAACAAATTCAGCCGTATTGTTTGAACGGAGAAATATTTTTTCTTATTTTGGAATTTATTTTGAGTGGTTGCAGCTAGGACTATTACCTGGAATATCACAAGCTTGAATCACAGGGTTAAAAACGGTACCTTCCATACACCTAAATGGTCCCTTTGATGTTCCATTCACGCATTTGTAATATCGAGTACAATCTTTGTCATCTTTTACAAATGACGTTCCTCTCTCTGGACAATTCACTCGGATTGTAGTTTGTAAATTAATTGATTGTGGTATTTGGTTAACATCGTTGCAATTGCCTGCTGGATTTCTTACGTTGAATGGCCAGTCACACATTCCGCTCTCTGGATTGAAGACAAGCCGATTCGATTTGTCGGGATGGATTAACGGACAGCAACTCAGACATGCTTTTCCTCCCTCAACTTTATAAAATTTATGGCAATTATAGGGATGAGCATAATAATGTACTCCATGGTCATTGATTCCTATATCGATACATTGTTCGGCCGTAAACTCAGAACAATCGTTTAAATTTTCGTTTGCCACCGTTGCAGCGACAGCAATCAACAACAGACATAACACTGAAATTTATAAACAAAAACATTATTGCAATTTATCGAATTCTGTCGTCTTAATTTCTTTTAACGCTTAAATTACTAAAATGAATTTATAAATTCTCATGGAAATTTTTATGTTTATAACAGTGTATTTTTAGTAAAATGTATGAGTTATTCTCATTATAAACTTTTTTATTGTTCTTTACAATTCAATTTCTCGGCCATATATTTTATACTTTAGTCATCGGTAATTTTAGTGCTAATTGAGCTTTCTTCCAACTGAATATTCCAGTCTAATATTTTAACATGTAGTGATCACAAGTTTTAGTACAATTTTTTTAAAAATTTGGTCGAAAACCGATCGATTTTATCGGTTTAAGTTTTGTGTTCGACAGAATATCAAGTTTCATTCTTGTTATATTGAAACATTACCAGCGATTATGACCTTAAATATTGACCGTTGTTTCTGGAGTTATGTAAAAATTTTGTCAACGAATTTCGTTAACATGGTAATAATTTTTCTGTGTTTGGAGGGATTTCTAAAATTTCAACGGGTTTTTAAATTTTCGTTGCTACATTTTTAAACGAAATCATATACATTATTGTACATTTGTCGGTATATAGTTCGATATTCTTTATAAAAAGAAATTATTAATTTCTGTATGTTGAAAAATTGTTAGTTTGAATATTTTGACTTTGATTTAACAAAATTTATTGTACGGATGATAAGGAACAGTTTTTTTGTGTTCATTCGTAGATTTTGTGTTTATTCGTAGAATTTAAAATAACTACTAAACGAATAATGTTTCGACGTACGTAGGTTAATAGTTTTTTATAGAAAATGTCAAGCAGTGTCGACTAATAAATTAAAAAATATATCATTTCATTTGAAAAAATGGAGATGACTTTGAAATTTCCTTTATCTATAAAAAAAATTGTTATTTCCATATTATTTTCTCCACTGTACTGAATAACTGTTGTTAACAGAGTTCCTTTTCCCAAAACAAACAATGTATTTAAAGTGGTAATATTTATTAGTTCACTCTGTACAAACGTGTTCTTAAATGCCGTATTAAAAAATTATAAGAAAAATTCGATACCAAACCTGTTTTTTATTTAATAGATATAAATAATATACATAGATATAATTAATTTGTTTGCATTTACGCTATAATAATCTTAGTTTCATTTATAAGCCAACGATCAAATCTATAGTTATTCAGCATTTAAATAGTAAATTGAACAGGTATTAGCAATATCGGAATAGGTATTAAACAGATATTACCATGACGAAATAATAGTTCATTATCATTTCGAATTTTTGTTACAACTTTTTAATGAAACATTTAAAAACCAATGCTTGACATCTCTTTCTTATACGCTGGTAAAATTCTACGAAAAAACCTAAGACACTGTATTTATAAAAATAAGATAAATTTTTAGTTTAGCGGCTTTTCTCTATTTTAGCTATTTCGCTACTGTTTCTTTAATAAGAGATTCATTTTGTCACTAAATCAAGAAATCTATCGCCGAAAATTGAAAAATATAATTCTTGTTACATATTTTAAAAAAAACATTACGCTAAGAAAATCATAAGCCAACAAAATAGCTAAAATTTGAAGAAACTGATAAACTATAAAAAATCATCAATAACAAAACTGAAATCTTATATAATAAAAATGTATAAATATTTCATTAAAAATTTATAGCACAAATATGAAACAAGTCAAATTTCTGGCGTCTAAAGAATTGTCAATATTTGAACTGTTAATATAATTTCGTAAAAAATATCTCACAACCATCATCTTGAGCCCATTTTGAAACTTGAAATCTCTACCTTTCAAACTTCATCGTTCATTTTATTCTACGATACTTTTACGAAGTGTAGCAAATGGTAAAGTAAAAACATTTTTTTCCCCGAAAATGCTATAAATTGTCAGAGTATGTAAAATCATTGAAAAATATTTTCATTACTAGGCTCTTAAAGATTCCTCTTTACAACAACACTTCAAAACTTGGTGTATAATTTTTTTTCACTAGTTTATTGAACTTTGAATATCGGACGAAAACAAAAATATTATTTCTTGAATTTTTTCGTCTAATTATAAGCCTAATTTTATTCAAAGTTGATGAATGATTATTCAAAATGGTAAAAAAAAAATCATAGCATAACATCAAATTTTGGGAAATTGTTGTAAAAGGTCATTATTATCGATAATCACTCTTAAAATTATTATTAAAATTATATTTAAATATCGACAACTTTGCTTACTACAGTGATTTACTTGTGGTAGATTTTGAAAATAAAAGTTTACACTTAATCATTTAAAAATCAAAATAAAATGTCTACAATAAATTCAATAACATATTAATATCAAAATGTGCATATGTCATATTTTTGTTGTAATTTTTTAACGGGATATTTATAGTTAGTTCTTGGTACAATTTTAGCTTTAGAACATACTAGCAACGTTTGTTCTACATATTCCCTACATATCATCAATAATTTTATTGAAGCTAGAAATTAAAAATTATTTCTCAGTTTTCAAATTTTACTAAAGTACTGTAATACTTCTCCGTTTTTTACTCTTATATTGACAAGATATTAAAGAAAAGAATCGAATTGCTTACATTTCATTCTGTGTAATAACACAACAGTAACACAGTGAACGTTCCTATTTCTTATCTCACAGAAACTGACAAATTCAATTTATACGGATCGACTTTTATAATAAACCGAATCTTATCATTAACATATTGTTTATCTTGTATCAAATATTATAGTATTTATCTTATCACAGTGAACACCTAAATACTATTATAATCTAACTTGATTATATAACTAAAATCGTTTTTTATCAATATTATTCTTTCATTTCCTTTATATTTGAAGTTTGATTTTCTTGAAAGTATCATTACATAGATATAACGTATAATTTATCAATCTTTTAATTTATTAGAATGAACAATGTAATTCTCAATTCGATCATCTTAAATATTTGTGACAAACACGAGAGGAAACCATGTACCAGTTTATTTCAATGGGAAATATACTATAATAACTATAATAAGCAATCGTTTTTCGAGATCATATTTTTTTGAAATATTATGGACGATTTCTTAAAATGAGTTTTTACATATGATTATTATCATTGCGTAATGTATAAAATTAAAATTAATTCAGTACAACACTGATTTTTGAACTATATAATTTATATTTTATTTTATTATTGTTATCCACTTTGAAAATTTTTCAGATTGAAGCTCACGAAATCTCAATCTTGGCTTAATTATTACATCACATTGATGATATAGATGTTACGTTAAAAAAATGCATTCTCGAGTTTGTTTTATATTTCAAATTTTAAAATATATTAATTTATTTATATTATATTTATATTAATATATATCTTATATAATATTACATCATATTTATATTAATAATTAAAAAATAAGCTTCAAATTTTAAAATATAAAAAAGTTTATTTTAAATTCTTCGTTAAAATCAGTTACATGTCAATGTTTTGCAATATTATTTTGAAATCAATTTGGTCAAATCAATCCATAATATTTACCATAGACTGTTAGAAATAAGAAATGAGACTTTCATACTCAACTTATGGAACTGTAAGTAAAAATATTACCTCGTAATTTTTATTATTTTTCCATGAAAACAAGCATACATGATAATAAAACTGCACGCATTATTTTTACTTTTCACAATTCCAGATTTCAATGAAGAAACTGAATATTAATAAACGTTTTGATAACATAATAAATATTTAACAACGAAAGGATAAATTTAAAGATAAATGGATACAGCATACAATACACAAAATCTAGAAATATTTATTTTTTCTTCTAAAAAATATTTACGAAATTTGATAAAACTTGAATATTATAAAATTAATTTTATAAAACCAAACACAATTCAAATGAATTTATTATAGTACAAAAAACGTTGTTCCAGTACAAAAAATGTTGCTCCTATAGTCTACATTTATAATAATGAAATAATAAGAAAATTAAAATGCGAAATATGTTCGAGAAAAAAGATTACTTTATTTTTGAGTAAAGAGTTATCGCCTTACAAGAGAATTTTAACCGATGTCTAATCAGTCCGTGATAACTGAACGGATTTCCGCATTTGTGGAATCGACATCGTTATCTTCAACTTACGTTTGAATGACTTTAAAATAAAATTATATTTGTTATAACCGTGATTGTAACCTTTAACCATTCCTTAGTTTCCCAATTTAATTTGTCCCTTGCTCAAATTGACACAGTAGTAAAAAATTATTAATTACAATGAAAAAATAAACAATTAAATTTACAAATTATTTTATTAACAGTAAATAAATTAAATTTTTATAACCTCAGGTACAGATGTATAACCTACTCTTCAATATTCAATTTTATATCATAATCTTACATATTTTATAAAAATAAATGTGTCAAATTGACAAAGAAAACGAATAATGGTTAATATTTAGTAATTATTAAACAATTAACTATTAGCAATTATTTAACAATTTTAACATTTAGCAAATGATTTGACTTGTAATCAGAGATTTAAAAATATATCTAATATCAATTTGACACAACATGTGAAATTATAACACTTGACTCACTAATTATCACAATTCCACAAATTTGTCCAAACTACTATTGACTCTTTAGATAGAATTGAAAATAAAAATTTCATATTATATGCGAAAATGGTAGAAAAGAATTTGAGAAGATGATTATCTTGATTTATGTCAGTGTGATTATTCGGAATGAGAAATGTTAGAATGAAAAATAAATACTTGCAAGATGTACAATACATATTTTAATACTATTAATATTTTTACGGGTAGACAACTAAAAAAAAACTTGTAACTTTGATTTTTTAAGTAGAATCATGTTTTTAAATGCATTGATCGATGCAGCTTGAGATCTCTTCTTAATATTCTGATAATTGTTTAAAAAGCGATTATCTCATTGATCTCAATGATTTTTGAATATATTGTAAAATTCATCATTTTAAACAATTTTTTCTTTTGCATGTCATCGCCGGATTTTCTTAATTTTCGGAATATTCGCAAATAACTATATCTATATCATAAGCTGTCTTTACTATATCTTAAAATGTTTTTATATATCTCGGGACAGAAAAATAGTATGCCCTAAAAATTATTAAACCTTTTTTTATTAAACAAATGATGTAAAATCTTTCTATACATTTTTCCTTAATGTTTTTATCAACATATATAAGTAACATAAATTAAACTTTTTGCAATACATTTAGTGTTATTAAAAAGGAAAATAGAAATATATACTATATATTTAATAGTATGTATTATATATTTAATATAATATATTATTATTTATTGAAATGAGGTCAATATACTATAAGAGAAACCGCTTATATTGGAGTCAATGTAATACACATAATGTGTAAAATTTTCTTTCTTTCAAAACTTTGATCTTTCACAACTTTTAAATCCTTCTTTCGGACAAAGTACATGTTGTTCAGAATCCTTCCCTCCACAACATATCTAGAAATTAGTAAAATTGATGTTAAAGTTCCTTTTTTATAGGTTAATCGCGAATAATAAATATTTTTTATTGCACTAAATTTTTTTATGTGTTTCGTCATATATGTATATGACGTGTTTTTCATGACTGCAAAAAGAATTTACTAAAGCACAAAAGTTTACTAAAAAACACTGATGGAAATATAAAATTATTTTATTTAACTTCGTGATAACGTAAGATATTTAACGTTCTGTCTATGAGTGATAAATATATTGAAGACATTTTCTATAATGATGAAAATACGCTCTTTTATGCTGAAATATGGAAGATATTTAGGTAATTATAAATAAAGAATTCAATGGTTTAAAGTGCAAAAAAGCTTCAACTTTGCAAAATTATTTATATTTAAAAAAAATTAGATTATTCAGCAAAAAAGATATTCTTCTTCTTCTTCTATTTTCCTTTAATGTCGCATCGACAGCGAGATCATTAGCGATAACGGTGCCATTAGATATGTGTGTAGTAGTTTATGTTTTTGAGATATTTTCGTATTCTTTGTATGTCATTTTGAGAAGTCAGGTTTATGTTTGCGTTTATTCCGTATTTCTGTCTTTGGATTTCTGTGGTGTGGCATTCGTGCAGTATATGGGTTATTGTTAATGGATGGTTATTGCAATGAGTGCAGGTGAGTGGTTAATTTTGTGTTCATGTATCAGCTTAGTATGACCGGTTCTTAGGCGTGTAATAATTATTCCTTCTTTCCTGTTGTTAAAGTTTGGTGTTTGCTGGTGAAAGTCTTGGATACTTTTGTGTAGTTGGATGCTTTTAGTTGTTTTCCATGTATTATTCCATTCAATTTTTTGTTCCTTTTTTGCAATGGATTATTTGGTCGTTTAGGGGATTGGAAGATGGTTACGATTGTAAGTGAGGGAACTGTGGCTTCTTTCGCTGCTGCGTCGGCTTTTTCATTTCCTTCTATTCCTTGATGAGCTGGAATCCAGATGACTGTGGCGTTTGTGTTAGGTTGGTTGTGGTTTTCTTGGATGGTGGATATTAGTTGATTTTCTTGATCATATGATTTCGTTAGGGATTTTGTAACGCTCATGGAGTCGGTGTATATGACGATCTGGGCTTTGTTATCTGAGTGTGCATATTTGGCTTCCAGGATGGCATAAGTTTCGGCTGTGAAGATGGATGATGGAGAAAGGAGATTTTGTGTTTTTTTGGCTTTTTCTATGATAATGGCGTAGTGTCCGTTTTTGACCCATCAGTGTAACTCTCGCTGTGTTGGGCGTGAACGTTATTTAGTTCTAGGAATCGAGTTCTGTGGTTAGTTGGACTGAGGATTTTTTTAAGGAGTTCGGCAAGACTGGTATTCGTTGAGAATGCTTCTATTGTCCATGGAAGGATTTGTGGTAGTTTACATTCAATGGTGGGGTGAATTTTGAAAGTGGTGGATTGGAGGATTTTGGTAAGTCTGATATGGAAAGGGGAGAGAATTTTAGATTTATCGATGTAGAAAGCTCTGTCTCTATTGGAGAAGATGTTGTTGTAGGAAGGATTATTTGGAGTGAATGAGACTTTTAGTGCGTATTTAAGAGTTAGGAACTTCCTTCTGGATTCAAGTGCCATTCTTTTGGCTTCGAATAGTAGGCTGTTCATGTTCGGTATGCTGTGGCTAGTCTAAGAGCTGAGTGGGAGATTAGATCTATTATTTTTTTGGCGGAGCTTTTAGCTGAGTTATAAACGGTAGAGCCGTAATTTAGTTTGAATCTAATTAACGCTCTGTATGTTTCTAGAAGAGTGTCTTTATCCGCTCCCCAGTTATTATTGGAAAGAGTTTTTATAATGTTAGGTCTTTTTATACAGGACTCTTTTAAGGTTTTTAGGTATGGCGCCCAAGATAATTTTTTGTCGAAAATAAGGCCTAATATTTTGATGGTATCAGTGAACTTTATTTCAAGATTACTTAGATATACTTTATATGGGGGATTGAGTTTGGTTTTCCTAGTGAATAGAATGCCTTGAGTTTTTTTGGGAGAAAATTTTAAACCAGTTGTTTTTGACCAATTCTGAAGGATATTAATGGTTGTTTGTAAATGTTCGTTAATGGAGCTTATATTTTTCTTGCTACATGTGATTGTTGTGCTACATGTCATCCGCAAATAGCTGGATTTTTATTGGTGGCTTGAGGTTGATGGTGATTCCTATTAAAAATAGTATGGTGCTCATTACTGATTCTCGTGGG